ATTTTGTGGTCTACTCCCGGTCGTGAGGGAGGGAGTTTGTTTAGACCGTCCTTTGCAAAGATGTCAGCAAAATCATGAAGATAGGAAGGTACCAGTTCTTCAAATGATTTCTTCTTCTTCTCCTGCGCGTCCTCCATAGCAAATTCTTGAGCTTTGTTGGAGGTCTTCGTGTAGTCCTGCTGAGAGGCGAGGATCCAGAGGTTCCGGAGGGGTTTTGCTCGTCTGTGGAGAGCCTTCCGGATTTCTTTCTTCGAGGTCCCGTCCTTGGTGAGCGGAGTGTCGAAAGAGATGTTCTCGATGATCCGGACGGATGTTCCGTCCGAAGCATATTCCACTAGGACTTCATCGTCAGTGAGGGGATAAGTGGAGATCTCCTCAACTTTATCCGCGAGATGGGTCTGTCCGACCCAGACATCATCCATGGTGTTGAAGTCGGTATCTTCGAAGGGCACGATGATTGGCACCGTCTTCTTCTTGTTACGCTTCTTGCGTTTCTTGATTTCCTCGAGGCAATGTTGAGTGTCCTTGGGGAGTCGCTTGAGGGGCGAAAAGTCCTCGTCGTCGAGTTCTTCTAGGACGGCCTTTTCTCCACGAAAGAGATATGGCTTGGCCTTGCTTTCTCGCCGGGAGGCGTTGAGTTCCCTCTCCACCTCCTTTGACCTATTGGTCGCAGGCAGGGAGATCGTGTTGGCCTTCCAGTCGATATTGGGCATCATGGCACTAAGCCAAGGTTTTCCAAAAAGTAGATCATCATGCTTGGAAAGTTTCGTTACGTTGAACTTTCCATACATAAGTCTCCGATTGAGACGAATGAATAGCATGCAGTATTGGGTTACCTGTCCTGCCGAGGACGGGCTTCCGTCTACTGTGGTGATCCGGAAGGGTTTCTTGAGTAGGTGGGTCCGGATCCCATTTCGCTTGACGAAGTCATAGCTAATGAAGGTCCCACCTGCCCCTGAGTTGATGATGGCGGTCGACTGAACAGTTTTGGCACTGCAAGAAGAGAAAAGTGTCACTGGGACACGAAACTCGTTGGATTTACCAACAGCTTTAGTATACAATGCGCAGATAGAGGGGATTGACCGTTCGACAAGCCCTCTCTTTAAAAATTCTTTCTTTTGACAAGGTTGACTTCCATGTCTTCCTCGTCAAAAGACTCGTCAAGCTGGTGGACGCCAGACTTGCTTGGCTTCTTGCCTTTGTCTTCTTTGTCGTTCTTGTCTCCTCGGCGCACCTTCGGGTGGAACCGGGAGTTGTTTGCTCGATGGCCCTTCTCCTTGCATTTGAAGCAAAGGCCTTTATCGAAGCACTTCTGTCGTTCCTCAGGAGTGAGGGAACAATCGACGTCCATAGCGTCAGGATCGCGTTGGCGGACCTGAGGCTTAGGGACGTGCCGGTGCCCGGAAGGGCGTACCGATCTGTTGTTGGACACAACTGCTCTTGATCGCTTGTAGTTGGCTTCCAACTGTGTCGCGGCAGTGTACCATTTATCGATGGTGGTGGGAACGACCTCCTTCCCATAGATGGCGGTTCGAAGTCCTGGTTTCAACCCTCGTTCGAAGAAGTGGATGAGGGCAACGTCCTGCTTGAGACTAGCAGTGGACGACAGGGTTTTGAACGTCGCGATGTAGGGCATCACATCGCCAGTTTGGGACAAACCATGAAGCTTGGTTAGAGCCTCGGTCATCTGGTCGATCAGGTGGAAGGATTCGATGAAAGCCTTCTTGAAGTCCTTCCAGCTACCGAAGTCGACGACAGGTTTGTCGAAGGCTGCTCGGTAGAAGGTGTCGGCCCAGACGCGGGCATCTCCATCGTTCATGTATTGGAGTGCAACAGCGACCTTGGTTTGGTCGGAGCTGTAGATCGTCGAGTTGATGAGGAAGTATGTCTCCACCGAGTACATCCAGCGCTCGGCATCATCAATGCTTCCATCATAGTTCTGTGGTACTCCAGCCTTTAGTTCAGGCTTGGATACGACCACTGTCGGTTGTTGGGTGGGGCCTCCGGACATTCTTGTTCCAGGGTTCGAGTTGAGGTTGCCGTACGGTTGTTCGTCGGGAAACTCGTCGGAGGACGTGTGGTCTTCTTCCGATTCTTCTTCTTCGGAGTCCGGAGTGTTGGGATCACGTTCCCAAGGGTACTTCGGGATCCAGGTAGTCGTGGTGTCTGTCGGTTAATGGCCGTGCGGATGGCAGGGCACAAAAAGGGGAAACTTGAATCTTTTGTTACGCACTCAAATAGATCTGTTATGCGGAGCCCTAAGAGGGGCGTCGTCCGCTAACGTTCGTGACGTAACCGGAAGGGTCCGGTGTAGCGACTGAGACTGGCGACGTCGAGTCGGCAGATATCAGAGACGCGCGTGTCATGTGACTTCTAAGACGGATGTCTTCAAAGTCACTGACGTTCTCAAAGTAAGGACAGTCTTGTCCGAACGATGAGTAGTCGATCGAGGTAGACTTAGGCGCGATGAGCACCTAAGAAAAGATACTAGAGACTGAAGCTGAGGGGGCTTCAGAGGGAAGTATGTTCGAGGGAAGATTGAGTAGATTCAAGTTAGGGAATCTAGTACAGAGTGACCGACTACTTATACTAAGTGGAAAGGGTTAAGGGCAAGGCTACCATACTGTAGGTAAGGGCAAAGGGGAAATGGAAAGGGTATAGGTACGCTGGTAGCAGAGCCTGATTAGTGATGTAAGGTCGAATGCGGAATGAGACCGAGAAACGTTGGAACAAACCAACGGTAAATGATACAATGTGCATCATGCACGAGTCAAAGGAAAGATAAGACAAGATAAGGAAAGCCACATTGGTGGCACGAGTCAGAACGAGTCATAGCCCGAAGGCACGTGCGCACGTTGGTGCGATAGGAGGGGGATGAGGGACGGGAACGGTCCCGAGGATCCGGTCAACGGATAGTCGGTAGAGAAGTACGAGCCGGAGGCATACGAGGGCGAGGACGAAGGGGAAAAATGATAGGGGGGCCATGTAGCCGATGTTACTTGTAACAGCTTGGTGGACAGTGGATGGGTGCTTCTGGATGACTGGCGCTATAGGGCGCTCAAGCGTGGGAATGCGCGTGCGCATATACATTGTGAAGTGCAGGAATGGTGCGCGCATTGCACAGGAAAGCTGCGCCTCATAGTGGAATACCTGCAGATAGCACACAGAGTGATGCTGCAAGTTTGTGCTATGTACTCCTAGTGTAAAGCGCCATATCACACCATGAGAGGCATGATTCTCTACACCGGCTCAAACTGCCTTTCACACATAATGGGCTTAGAGCTGGTTCACACGGCTAACTGAGGTGAACCGAACTGAAAAACTAAGTGAGCCTACCTAGTGCTAACCGAACTGCCATGTAACCATTAAAAGCCAGAGCCGAACCAGCCATAGCCGAGCCACGGCATTACTACCCTCAAGAGGGTTGACAAAATTGTCAGATATTCAAGACATGTTCTTATGAAAAAAAAGCAGCATTCAACAGGTTTCAAACCTGTTTCACTCCAATAGAAACAGATTTTGATTCTATTAGGACAACCACTTGGCTGACCACAACTCTGATGAGCTTGTAAGCAAACCAACCATGAGCATATATAAAGGTGTGGTTTTATAAAAAATAAAATTTACTCATGATTGATATTTTTTCCCCGTTAGAACACACCTTGACATCAGCTCATGTGCACTCTCCTGAGAGCTTCATATCACTAGTCTTAGCCAAGTACATCAGGAAAAAGCCAAGATTGTCATAGCCACGGTGATGGCTATATAGGCACTTATAGCCATCGTAGCACTATATAGTCCTCCTTCAGCCTACATATAGCTATATAGCACTATATAACCTCAATTCACACTACAGGACTTATGACTGTGCTACAGGCACCTATAGGATGCTACAGGAGTAACCACCATGCTACAGGTTACTACAGGCACATCTGTCCAGTGTTTGCAGGTATACTAGACATGCTGCCTTCTAAATACTTGTCATAGCCACACAAAACATCTCACTGTCAATGAAATCATTAAAATAAATTCATTGGCTGCCTCATATGCATTCCCAGTTATCAACTTTGTGTCCACAGATTGTCCCACCTTCGGTATTAGATGGCACAGCCATATGATTTCATCGACATGAATCACTACAGCATTGCAGCAAAATTGGTGGGTCGAGCGTGACACTTATCACATTCCAGATGAAGGGTCCAGTGATCTGAATGGAGTAAACCACTCTGTGTAAGTGAGGGCTCTTAAGTATTTGCCAAACTGACGAGGGAGTGAGAAAATCACACGAACTTGAGCCACTTGCAGACCTGCAGCAGACTGATCAGATTGCTGTGAAACTGAAAACAAATCAAACTCAAACATACCATCTAAAGTATGCAAGTGTGGAGAGTGAGGACCATCTGATATCAATGCCATATCAAAATGAGCAGGACAACCTGGTTTCCATTCTGATGCAAGTCTCTCTGGTGTCGCTCGAATGCGCCTGCACATTGGTGCATCACTAACTTGAAAAGCAGGTGGCATCACAATGACCAGTTGATGATATATATCAAAATGGTCCTGAATGCCTGGTACAAGGGTGTTGTGCAGAAGATTCATGCGAAGAAAGGTTTGAAGTGCAGGGATAAAATCTGTCATGCCATGGGCATTTACAATATTTTGAACAGATTAGTGAGGATGTGCAGGGCTCTTGGCAAGGACATGGGTCACTTGGAGCTTGCCTGTAGGTGTTGCATGAGGAATAGCAGCCTCTCCCGAATCTGAGTCTGAATCTGAATCTGAATCTGAATCTGAATTGACTGCTGTGTGACCTGCAGCAGAGAGAGGCATCCAGAGACTCGGCCATGTGAATGTGAAGCTGGGCATAATATGAGAAATCAAGAATAGCATGTGCCACTGCCAACACATGACTGCCACGCATAACTCAGCAACAAATGCCATCCTCAAGATATGTTACATATGTACCTAGGTACTGCTCTGGTCAGTATCCCCATAAAAACTCACTGCATTTCTTTATGCTCACTTCCCATCCATTGCTTTACATTTGATATACTGTTTTTGAAGTGCCAAAGTCCAGGATAATCTGGGACTGCCTTGAATCGTTGTAGAAGAGAAATGAGTAGTGGGGTAATATGAGTGGTATCTCGATGAGTAAGATATACATTGGCCCAAGGGGATTGCTACTGAGAAGGTTCCTCTAAGTGTATAATATGGAGGGAAACACTGAACCAGGTGCTTTAGTCAAGCCTGGTAAGGTATGTGACAATGAGTGAAGTGCAAGCGAGCAAAGGCGACGTGAAGCGCTGATGAGCGACAATGGCTGATGATAAGCGACGGTGCAGGACTTATAACGGAAGCGCGCGCTAAGCGGTAGCGGTGTGCACGTGCGAGTGGTGGAGCATAGCGACTCTTAATGAGTTAGAAAACAGATTGGCAGAGTCTCTAGTAATGTACGGCGGTGGCGCTCATATTGTACTTAGATACTTTAGATTTAGAGAGAGAACTTAGACTTATAGTCCAATGATGTACGGGCAGAAAGATGATCCTTATACAGTTTTAGGTGCATGTATATATACTAAGTAATGATAAGCACTGTCAAGCGCTAAAGCGAACCGAGAAGCGAAGCGGATATGGAATAATATGTAATCTAAGGGTCCATGATGGACAACATACGGAATATGGCCATAAGCGCCGGAGATATGTTAGAATAAATGGAAATAAGTCAGGAATATGCACCGACGAACTGAATGGACATGGAATGGATGGACAGAGGACGAGTGACAGAACTGAGGATGCATGCGCTGACGCGCGACTGATGAGCGACTGGAGTGCTGGTACAAGTGAGCGGCTGCTGAAGCGCTCGAGTGTGCTGGGTGAGATATGGGTCGCGCTATGTTAGCCCATTCTCCTCTAATTCTGGTGGATGCTGACCATTCTTGCACCTTTGCAAGATATCTTTCATGGGCTCAGGATCACGCATCACTGAGTCCAGCACATACCCTTGCTTATTAGCTCCCACAAGGAACTTTGGACAATGGTTCTCCTCACAGCAAGAAACCAGACACTGTTCGGGAAAGTCGGCCACATATGCCACCAGTATCAGATAGACACGCCAAATCCACGAGTCTGCACACACCATGTCCACACCATCATTTCTGGCAGTGATGAGAGGATGCAGGAGCAGTCTCATGTAATGATGGAAGAGTTGGTGACCGGCCAGGGAGCATGCATCTGGAGTGAAGCAATCAAGCTTCCCTGTAGGTAAGTACCCAAGGAGCACTGTGGCTCATGCTGATGTTTGATGCCTTTGTGCTTTGGTGATATTACCAATAGACATATACACCGGCCACACTGACTTATCTCCTTGGAATTGGGACAACAATGTTTTGTCAGATGCTAGAATAATTGGAGCTATGGTGGCTCCATCAGGCAACACCTTCTGCATGAGAGGTCAATCCAGTCAGTCTAATCCTTATTGCTCTGTCTGGCACAATCTTACCTATTTCTCAGCCCACCAGTCTGCCATCCACATTTTGTCGATAATTTGATGCTCCCCCACACAGTGTAGAGACTAATATCTCTGTGGGCTTACAGGGATCTAAATTCCCATTGACCCAGCGTGCTCAAGCACTTTGTCAGCCGCGAGCACACACGAGCACTTCAGTCACATATCCTTGGTTCCGTTACTCGTCCTCCGTTGATCCATTCCATGTCGGTTCGGTTTGTTGGTGCATATTCCCATCCTATTTCCATTTATTCTGACATATCTCTGGCGCTTATGGCCATATTCTGTATGTTTTCCATCATGGACCCTTATATTACATATTATCTCATATCTGCTTTGCTTCTCGGTGTAGGGATTCATTTCTGGCTGGGCTGGTAGAGACTGTTTTTACCTTACCTTATGTTGGCACTTTTGTAGCTTACATAATGGGGTTATCTTTTCACCAGTTACCAGTATGAGCCTGAAAGATCAGCAGTTTTCTATCATATTTCCTCTTCTCTGAGCCTTGAGCCTGGTCCAGAAACCCTTTAGGGTTGAATAGCAGCTAGGTTCTGCAAGACCCAACATTGTTCAGACTCACCATCTGAATTGTTGTACCTTCATTGGTTCGCTTTAACACTTAATATTACTTAGTATATGTATGCATGCCTAAACTGTATAATGATTATCTTTCTACCTACACATCGTTGGACTCTAAGTCTAAGTTCTCCCTCATATCTATCAACCAAACCTTAAGTATCTAAGTACAATACAAGCGCCCACTATTGTACATTACTAGAGACTCTGTCAATTAATTTGAAAACTCATTAAGAGTTGCTCCACTCCACCACCACATGTGTGCACCGCTTCTGCTCAGTGCGCGATTCTGTCATAAGTTGCTCATTGTTGCTCATTATTGCTTGCCATCACTTATTAGTGCTTCAGGTTGCCTTTGCTCGCTTGTGCTTCACTCATCGTCGCATGCCTTACTAGGCTTGACCAAACACCTGGTCCAGTGTTTCTCTCCACACATAAACTTAGAGGAACCTTCTCAGTAGCAATACCCTTGGATCGACACATATCTCACTCATCGAGGACTACTTGAGTATATCTCATACCACCCTATGATCTACACTACCAATTTCTCTTCTACAATGGTCGGAATAGGCTCTGGCTGGGCTATAGGCCATATCTTCCTTGAAAGAAGGGTTCCCAATCAGCTCCTTCACGCATTCAACTGAATCTCAACCACCCTTGGCTGTAGTATTAGACCTAATATGTTGGGCAACTACCAGTTTTACCATACACTTTCCTTGGCAACTGCCAGTTCGCTTTTTTGACCTATTGTATGGGACTTGCCAGGTCCCTATTTGGGTGGGTGTTGTGGCTTTCACAGCTGCATTTTGGGGTTTTTTCAAACTCAGCTATGTTTTCAGTCACAAATGTGCCACCCCACAAATGTGTCACCCCACAAATTAATTGTTCCCACACCCTCCCCACATCATTGCAGCTTCACCACCACACCACAATAGCTCCCCCTTTATATATAAGTAGTAGTTTAGTATATATATGTATGATATAATCTAATAGACTGCTTTTTTTATTTGTTTGTGTGACTGCTCCTCCTCCAGAGGCAATTCAACATAGGGTAGGGTACAAAATACTTTCGAACTTTTGCCCCTTTGGTGAGGAGGTGTTCTATGATATTCAGAACATGTTTATGAGCATATATGAGTAGATTCCCATCTTTATTTGACCCCCTGAAGTGTCCTACATCAATAGATATAGCACATATGCAAGAAAACACAGAATATGTTCCCATTTAATTATTTCTAGGTGAACAGACTTGGAAAAATATTTCCCAGCATCTATTCAACAATAGGAACAATGTATCAGGAGCACAGAACCATAGGACAATACCCTGTTGCATGGTGTGGCGCCCCTCCCCTGGTGGTTTACCCCCTGTGAAAATTTTTCCTGTAGGACCGGACCTCAATTAAGGTAGGGGGTCTATTCCTATATATATTTGGAGTAGATTTATCATATAGCTGGCCCAGGACACACATAGGATCTTGCTACAGGAATAAAAACATAGAAAATCGCATTTTTGACATTTTTGATGTTTTTCAGTATCTTGCTCTTGCATATATAATCCAGCCTGTTCATATATCACTATAATAGCATATTCACTTGCTTTGTGTGACAAGGATCAGCCCTACATAGGGCGCAAATTTGAGATCTGGTGTATAGAGGGTATTTCTACTGATAAGAAACCTACATAGTAATCAAGCCTGTGATAAGTGATCTGGGACATGGAATACCTCTCATATATGTCCCTAATGATGAATCTGAAGTTTTAGAAAGATCCATGAAGAATTGACTGAATGACAAGTAAAATGACATACATATGTGTGAAAAGTGACAATTGACATATTTTTACACAAAGTCACATATATATATGGTACAGTTCAAATATTTCACTTAAAATATGTAGAATACATGGTAGACTACTAAAGGAACCTATACTACATACTGCCCTGGGGTTGGAGGGTGGTGGAAGGGATGTGGTGTATATTTGAGTTGACCCAGCATTAAAGTCCTACCACTGCCCAATAGTGCTGTCCACATTACAGGTTATATTTTAATATAATATTATTATTAATCATTATCTTGATTATAATATAGGCTCATAGAGGCTCTGCATACACCATATAATCTAGTACATTATATTATTGTACGATTACATTATAATATGACTTAAGTATTTAATCATAATATTTTGTTCAGAGTGACTCGGTTGAAGCAATAACTGTACAGTTGAAACAGGAGTAGTTCCCACGCATAGCGGCCTACCATACTCAGTGGGTGCTGCGCAGCATTCAGGATCAAGGAATTTGATATCTTTGCATCAGGGCAGCATAACTCAATGGCTCAATTGAGTGAGCAGCAAAAACAGCTGGCCCAATCACTCACTGATCTTCAATCTGCTATAACTGGACTCCCCAACTTGTTGCCAGAAGCAGCCAAAGATGGTCCAATCAGTCATCACTTATGTGATCTCAGCATTAATGAAGATGAAGGTCCATTTTACTCATTCAATTGTGCCTGGGAACAGGTCTTTCAATGCTCTGAGGATGAACAGCGGAAACTGGTTGTGCGAGGAAAGTATGGTATCATCCTTGCACACCATTTTGCTGCTCACTTTGCTGCATTACCAAACATTAAGTAGCATAATGGACTCAACTTGATGAATGAGCGCATCAAAGTACTTATCAAATTGCTTTATGACATGTATGTAATGTTCTGTAGACTTCATGTCATGAATTCTAATGTTACTTGATATTACATGACAGTGCTCCTACAGGGACTTCAAAAAAGGCTGCTAGTGGGCTTTTCCTCTGCATTAAATGAACATAAGCTAAAGGTGAAAGTTCTGTCCAAGTCATATATGTATTTCACTGACATAATTCAAAGATGCTGAGAGTGACCTAGATGATCATGATTATGTTCCACCACACAAAGACCCTGTTTCCGACAATGGTAGTATCAGTGACATCGAGGCAGTTCCAGCAAATGGCAAGAGTGGTATGCCTAAGAAGAAGAAGCAAAAGACTCGGGTAACTTCACTCCTATAAAAGTTTTTCTGTGCTAACTCTGTCGCCAAGGCTCAAAGTGAGAGGTCTGAAAGTGAGATTGATGTAGAAGAGGTTGAGGTACATGCTGGACAGAATCCTTTGAAAGGACAATGGGCGATGCTACAGTTTGTTCCGTCACTCACTACCAATAAAAAAGGAGATCCTGTGTGGAAATGGAAGTGTAACTGGTGCGAGTAAGTATCTCACTGCAAGCTAGAAACTCATATATTCTACCCAGCACATTCTGGACATCACCTCACACACCACGATGCACATCTTATGATGCTGAAACTATCAAGGCACCCCCTTCAAGTAATTTCATCTCACACTTGCCAAAATGTCCCAAATTGCCATGAGAACATTCCTTCGACTCATGGTGTGCCCAGAAATCAAATGGAGTGCAAGTCTCTGTGGGAGCTCCAGGTCCTGGTCCTCAAAGGCAGATTATGCAAGATTTTGTGCAGCGAGGAATAGAGCATCCAGCCAAGCAGCTTACCAGAAAGACCTGGCGTGAAACCCTGGTAAAGGGTATTGTTGAAGATGACCTTCCGTACTCACTGGTTGAGAAATGAGGCATGAAACGAACATTCACACTGATTCTGCCAACAGGTTATGCATTACCTTTATGTCAGACTATTTGTTGTGACATTAATCGGCTCTATGAAGGTACAAATAAAAAAGTCAATGCCACTCTTCAGGTGAGAATCATCGTGCTCAGATCAAAATTGGTGTAAACAAACAAATTTTGTAGTCGAACATCTCCCAGCTTGCCTTCTCGAGTGATATCTGGACCAGCAAAAACTCAATCTATGCTTTTCTTGGTTCTGTGGTCTCCTGGATCAATGACGAGTGGGAGCTCATGCAAATTCCTCTGGAGCTTATTCCGCTTGACGGAGATCATTCAGGGAAAGTGTCTGGAAAGCTACTGTTCAAGGTGCTGAAGCATCGGAAATTGACAAGCAAGATCAGTGAGTTCATGATCAGCTCACAAAGACTTTATCACTCATCTCTTTATAGTCGCACATGCTACAGATAACACAGCAAGTAACACAACTATGAATGAAGCACTCACAAAACAGATTGTTGATGAAGGTACCCACTTGCATCGTGCGAATATGCAAATTGGCTGCGCAGCTCATGTTATCAATTTTGTGGTGCAGTATGTAGCCTTAAATTCACCTCTTCCTAGTACTGACAAAGTATAATACTGGCAGGGCAATATTGCATGGTCTCCACTGTGCTCCGGACCCTGAGGAGGAAGATCTCTATGAGAGTGCTCAACAGTTCCCAATTACATACTCACCTGAAGATGACCCCGAAGTTCAGCAAGAAATGGAAGAGATGCAAAAAGAGGTAGCGAAGAACAATGATGAGGATGATCCCTCAAATCAACATGCTGAATCAGATGTGTATGTCTCAAGTGATGATGAAAATGCTGCACCTATGGGGAAGAGTGCAAGAAAAGCAAAGAAAAGTCAACATCTTACTGTAGTCAAGAAGGTGAGTTGTTGTATTTTGCATACTAAGTCAATTCTGATGCCGCTGTTAGCTTCATGCAATTGTAGTTGATATTCTCGCTTCAGAGGTTCATCAGAAACAGATGCGCCAACTTATCCGTCAACTATGTGACGCACATTACAAGGGTCTTGTTCCCATTCACAGCATGCCCATTCAGTGGAATACAACACTCGCAGAAATTGACCAAGCTATGAAGCTCAAGCCAGTATGTAGTTTTACCATCAGCTAACTTGATGCACCTTACATTAAACATACAGGCAATCAATCAATGGGTTGATCAACTTGATGCTTGTCTCACTGGGTCAAAGAAGTGTGCCACAATCTGCAAGAAGACGAAATTGGCATTGAGTGTCAGTGACTGGGAATTTCTTGAGCGTCTTTCTTCAATTCTTGTTGTGCATTTTTAATCATTTTACTTGTGTATAACTCACAGTGCTCACGATCGCAGCTTTTTTACACTTCGACACTCAACCTGTCCCAAAAACATGTCCCTACCATATGCTACACTCTTCCATTGTACAAACAGCTGGAGTTACACATGGACACTTATTGCCATCAAGCCTCAGAGGAAAACGACATTCATGGACTCGAAGATGTGCTCACAGCTGGCCTCAACAAACTTTGGATTCACATGGAGAAAGCTCTGGTATCTGATTACCCTTTGTTAGGTGCCGGTGAGTGTGTTTTTATAGTGTCAGAAGTATATTATATTCATATTGATGTGTCTAGTTCTACATCCGAGAATGTGAGTCTCATATTTTGACAATGAGACCTTGTGGTCACACACCAATCTCGCAGCTCGTGTGCGAGTTCTTCTTGATCATATGTACCAGGTATACTCTGAGGATAGTGCAGACAACTCCTCCATCACTCCCACTACTAGTATCGTGGATCCTGTCTCACCCGTCAAATGTTCTGCTTTCAAGTCAGCAGTCAAGATGCACATGCAGAAGACTGGCCCTAGTGCATCTCAGAAAGAGGTTGACATTTACCTCAGTGGCCTTTATCCATGCATGACGGAACAGGAGGATAATCCTTTACTCTGGTGGAAGGTTCGTTTGTTTTAACTGCGGCTGTTTATTCTTCAATAACTGACTCGGACTGTATTCTACTTAGCAACACGAGACAATGTTTCCTGTACTTTCCCGCATCACTCGTGACATTCTCGCAATCCCTGCTGTTAGCATCTCCATGGAACATTTGTTTTCAAACAGCAAACACACCCTCTCCGATAGCTGTTCATCTCTGAGTGCTGAATCTGCATCAATCACTATCATTGCAAAGGAATGGTTGAAACACAATTTCGGGAATGATGTCAATTTCCTCGACAGCGTGAGCATCCATTAGATACTATTAGATATCATTACATTACCATTACATTTCATTACAATATCTATATAATTAGATACTCTCGCTCGCTGGTCCGTAATATTATGATTATATTACATTACGACTCTCAAAGTATTATAATCATAATTGGACAGCACTACTGCCCAACTGACCATTGTCGATGTTTTGGGTCTTTGAACTTTCCCACACTCAATTTCTTATCTGTTTCACTTCCTCAACACTCAATTCTTGTTGGATTGTTTTGTAAATTTAGGGATATGATAGTGAATGTATTCCAAATCTACTCCAGGTGTCTGATTATTAAATTTTGATGCTTTGACAAGATAGGCTCCTTATCAGTAGAAATACCCTCTATACACCAGATCTCAAATTTGCGCCCTATGTAGGGCTGATCCTTGTCACACAAAGCAAGTGAATATGCTATTATAGTGATATATGAACAGGCTGGATTATATATGCAAGAGCAAGATACTGAAAAACATCAAAAATGTCAAAAATGCGATTTTCTATGTTTTTATTCCTGTAGCAAGATCCTATGTGTGTCCTGGGCCAGCTATATGATAAATCTACTCCAAATATATATAGGAATAGACCCCCTACCTTAATTGAGGTCCGGTCCTACAGGAAAAATTTTCACAGGGGGTAAACCACCAGGGGAGGGGCGCCACACCATGCAACAGGGTATTGTCCTATGGTTCTGTGCTCCTGATACATTGTTCCTATTGTTGAATAGATGCTGGGAAATATTTTTCCAAGTCTGTTCACCTAGAAATAATTAAATGGGAACATATTCTGTGTTTTCTTGCATATGTGCTATATCTATTGATGTAGGACACTTCAGGGGGTCAAATAAAGATGGGAATCTACTCATATATGCTCATAAACATGTTCTGAATATCATAGAACACCTCCTCACCAAAGGGGCAAAAGTTCGAAAGTATTTTGTACCCTACCCTATGTTGAATTGCCTCTGGAGGAGGAGCAGTCACACAAACAAATAAAAAAAGCAGTCTATTAGATTATATCATACATATATATACTAAACTACTACTTATATATAAAGGGGGAGCTATTGTGGTGTGGTGGTGAAGCTGCAATGATGTGGGGAGGGTGTGGGAACAATTAATTTGTGGGGTGACACATTCACCTGGGTTGCCCAATTAGGGAGCCTTATTATACTTGACGATTACGTGCCTCGGCAACTCTGATTAGGCATGTTTGTGCTAAAACCCAACACCAGCATTAAATGCTGCCCCAAATTACCTGGGGCCTTCACTTATTCAACCTATGTACTATAGCCTAGGGTGGGGCGGGTATTCGGACTCTATCAGTAACTTCCCGCGCCCTTCCCGCCTGCGCCTAGAAGGGTTATCCCCCAAGCCAATGCATTCTCACGCCCCTTGCCCTCTTCCACATTGTCCGCTATCCGGTGCTGCTGCCCTCTGGGTACCTTCTGATCACCCACTGACGCAACCCCACCATATACACAGACGTGCACCTACAAGGGTACCCCGCCATTCTGGTTCGTTCCCATTCTTTCTCAGCGCATGCACCACCGTCCACCATTAGCCTATACATATCCTCAACGCCTGCCATGCCTCGTGGCTCTACCACTTACAAGGTCACTTCACCTTCCTCCCCACATAACCCCACTACTCACACCCACCAAGAGATTGCCGGTCGAAAATACAGCGCGGCATAAACAACTTTGGATCGGTGTGGTTTTGAAGGCGCTTGAAGACCTCGACCCTCCTTTCATGTCCCTCCCACGACGTAAACAACTTTGGATCGGTGTGGTTTTGAAGGCGCTCGAAGACCTCGACCCTCCTTTTATATCCCTCCCACGACGTAAACAACTTTGGATCGGTGTGGTTTTGAAGGCGCTCGAAGACCTCGACCCTCCTTCGAGGGTTCTTCATATCCCTCCTGCGGCGTAAACAATTTTGGATCGGTGTGGTTTATAGTGCTTCTACCATCCGCTTCTCCAACACTAGCTCTGCGCCATCAGTTTGCTCTAGCAGTGGTTTTATTTCAATGTCATCGGTAAATTGTTAAGTTCATGTCATAGGTAGTAAATAACACATGGCGCCTTCATTATATTGAACGTTCCGTGATAGTAAACTGAGCTGGGACTGTATGTATGAGACAATATTTGCAAGATCAAAGAAAAAAACATTAGGTATCACTACAGTGCACAACGACCGCTCCAAACTCAACTGCAAGTAACTAACTCCATCTAGTTGAGCAATGGCCCAGGACCGAAGTCAGGCGCATCGTTGAACTGGAACTCAGGACCATCGAAATTGAACTGGGGATTGAACTGAAACTCGGGGGTATTGAACTGGAACTCGGGGCGTTCAAATTGAACTGGGGATTGAATGGAAACTCGAGGGCATTGAACTGAAACCCGGGAGCAGGGGTGGTAGAAGGAAGGCTGCCACTGGTAGCGGGCTGTGCTACTGGAGACTGGAGACGAGGCTCTGGAGACTGGAGACGAGGCTCTGGAGACTGGAGATGAGGCTCTGGAGACTGGAGACGAGGCTCGTCCTGTTCATCATCAGTATCAACGAATTCCGCACTCTTATGTACTGTCTTCCTTCCATTCTGAGTTCCTGCAGGCTGTCTGTGTTTTTTCCCCTTGTCAGATCGAGTGCGCCGGCGTTGATCAATAATATCACCGCTTTCGAGCCCTTCATCGCGCTCTCGACGAAGCCGTTCGAATTCTATGTCATCTATGGCCTTCCAGTATGTAGCGCCTGACTCCCACTTCCGTAAGAGCATCTCAAGGTCTGGAATCGCACTCGATACTTTGCTGAGGTTGGTAAAGGGAATGTTGTTTGGCCACCCTTCGACTACCACTTGGTAGCGCTGAATAACGTTGCGGAAGTAGTGAACCCACTGCATCTTGGCACGATCATCACCGGTAACTTCCTCTGTTGACGAAATTAAGTTAAAAAACACGCTACTACTGGCAGAATGAAATAAAACTTACGTAGCTTGCTATTCATGATCTCGCGGATTGATGAACGCAACCCGGAGACACGCTGTTGGTGATTCTTGGCAGCACCTGAATATCAACATTAGATAATAGGTACTAACTCGATGCGCAAAAACAGACCTTTAATTCCTTGGACCGCGAATCCTTCCATCTTGCTTACCAGATCCTGACCATCAATTCCCATCACAGAACCCATGAATGTTTGAACGCCCTCGGTGGCAAAGCTAACTCCTCGAAGGGGAAGGTCTGTTGAGCCTTGCGTTGTGTACAGGATGGTTTCTGCACCTGTACGACATTTAAGACTGTTAAGCTGGTATGACTTAGGATTAGTGAAACCAAAATTGATAGAAATGATCACTAACCTCGTTCTCGACAGCCTTCAAAGTCTGCGTGATGTCATTGACCTTCGACTTTGCAGAGATACGCAAGCCCATAGTCTTGGTCTCCCTCGAGTTGGCAAACTCCTCCAGAAGCTCGTCTTGCTCCTCCTTTGACAGTGTGTGATATTCGTCCTTATGGTCGTGGACTAGCGACTGGAGTGCAGCCTTGCCGAGGCCACCTATTGAGGTGTCATATTAGAGTGTGTTATAGCGACAACAAATAAACTTACTATTTTCTTTTTCCTGATTTTTCTTCCAGCAAAAAGTGTTCCAGAGATTAGGCTTCACACGCCTTGAGCGCAGCATACCACGACCAAAGTATAAATTATTCTGAACGCGTCGAATACTTTTATGGTGGGAACCTGCAATGGTCTTGGTTGTCTGATCAATCTGGCTCCAAGCGTCGTTGAGAGCATCTCTGAATAAACGGGACTTCTCGCGTTGCGTGAATCTCAATGCTGCTCGAGCTTCTTTGCTGAGTGAGACCTTGGGATGAGTCCGAAGTGGCATCCGAATATGACGTGTACCGCCAGTGCGCTTGGTTGCATAGAAGGACTGGGTAGCCATGATGGGTTAGTGTGTCTGTGAACTTTTCAAGGTCGAGTTCCAACTTTTAAACGCACCGAGGGTATATTTATTTGTGTGGGTCGATGATCTACGAAGCGATGAACCATCAATGAGTATATTGAGTCTACGGCACAAACTCAAGATCTACAGGAATAAAAGCCCAAAAAAGTATAGCGCACATAAAAAAACTAAAATGCCAAGGATCTTCAAGATGCTAGTGAGAACAGCTGCTAGTGCGGATGGTGACTAATTAAAGAAAATTAGGACAGAAGGTTAGGTAACAAACAAATCACTGACCTGGACAACATCATGGTTGAGTGGTACGTCCTGTAAGTCAGCAAGAAGGGCCTTCGACAACAAGGAAGCTTGCTCGTAGGACAAATCCCACTTCGGAGATCTGAAAACAGATTCCCATCGGCTGCTACGGACGGTGCTGGCTAAAACTCGCAGCTTGGGCAAAATCTCATCCCCAAGCTTGAACCGATCAAGCACTTGCATCAGTGTTTGGTCCAACGCTAATGAGCGCTGGCCCAACCGAATTAGTACCACCACGCAGAGTATCCGATTGACCAGCCACTAAGCTATCACCGGGGTTCCTGCTACTAAGAAATACATCCGCAGGTCGCCGTTGACGAATCTGATGTTGCATGGCACTTGTTACACCGTGGCGTATAGCAGCCGATGACGTGTTAGGCACTTTTGCATCCGAGAGAGCTTGCAAGGCACTCGCAAACACATGAGGTGCTTGTGCAGAACACTGGATACGAGCACCAGTAGCGACCATGGGTGCTGGCAAATATTGTGGCCCATTTGGACTGATGTGCGTAGCAGGGACTATAGTATCACATCAGCAAGGCTCAGGAAAATACAAGGAATAAGAACTTACAATGCTTAGGCGGTTTCACATTCTCGGCAGTGCAACGTTGCATGAAACGATGGAGATGTGGAACAGCGAACTCCTGCGCGAAGGCCTGGACCAAAACAGCAAGGTCTCCACCGATGCGCTGGCCTGTTTCTTGCAATTCGCGGGGTGTGATATAGAGGTCGATGGGCACTTGTTCTGGTGAGATGTTGGGGCCGGCTTCAATGCCACCACAACGAATCAGAAGGGAGATGCCGCCATCGAGACGGTCTTGCATGGTGATCTAGAAAGTACAAGATATTTAAGAAAGAAAATTGATTAATATAACTCACTGCATCGAAAACGTCTTGCAGTGCTGCTTCTAAGAGGTCATCCTGAGTAAGAACCCTCTGTTCTGTCTGTTCCACAGCAGGGTTGAATGAAATGTACGACGGATGAAGACCACCAGCTGTTTTCATCCAATAATGAGCACCGTCGATGTGTGCATCATGCCTGAGTGAGGCCCTGATGGATGCTTGCCGTTCGTTATTGCTGAAGCCTTCCGCAAACTGTGAAGTATAAAGAGCAGCGATGCTACTCATAGAAAAGCGATTGGTGAAGCCCGCAGTTTGAGACAGGAAGTCGGACTGCGTGATGATGGAGGGTGCTTTTTTCCTAAGTTTTGTGGGAGTGGTCATGCTGGTGTTGAAGTTGTGCCGTAAACGAAAGAGTCTCGATATATGCGCTAAGCAAGTGAAGTGACTCACGACTTCAAGTTGAAATGCACCAATGGCCCAACACCATGACTCAACTGGCGAGCATGCGGGTGATCTGTGATACATGTCTCAAGTACTATTATCATGATAGCGGCAGAGGATATGGTGAATACTGTAATAGAAGATGACGATGACTTGTTGATAATGGCTGAAATGTCCAATCACCGGCAAGTCCCATTCAGGAGTGAGATGGTTTCTGCAACATTCATGCTTAAACAACGCATGAAGCTTCAATTATTTCAAATTGCTCACATCAACACGTATATACACTACGCTATGGACTACTTTGTATAAACGATCTGTTTTTGAGACAAGGTGGTTGAAATCAAAGATGACGATGATGTCATCCCATTTGCGACTTGCTTCAAATGCTTCGAACAGATGTTGTGCAGTCAGAACTCAATATATATATCAACATTTGCGACTTGCTTCAAACAGACGTTGTGCAGTCAGAACTCAATGTATATATCAAAGACTGAATATATATACAACATTAAAACTACAGTGCTCAGTCGACAATGGATTGTAAATAGTCGGCGATGTCCTCCGTTGCCCTACCAAATTCTTCCCGATCAATGGCATCCATGTCAACATAATCAGACATGATGATTGCCTGAATGTCGTCGATGTCCTCTCGACCTACTAAGATTGTAAGTTAGCGTGAAATGTATAGTTGTATGGTACATACAGGAAGGAGCGCCCTCGTCGTCAAGACTCAGCGTGCTGCATTCTGAGTCACCTTCTACCATGGTTGTTGAAGGTGTCTCGAGGCGAGTGCCAATACCACGGACACCAGAGAATCCTGTAAGACTCCCAATTTGATCTAAGCGATAAACATGGACAGCGTTGATAGCTGCTCGAGAACGCCACTGGCGCTTCAGCTCACTAGCAAGCAATGGGTCAGAACCAGAAAGATCGCAAATGACAGCAGTGGCCTGAAGTTCTTCATCGTAAATAGCAGTGCGGAGACGCCGAATTTCAACGTTAAGTCGAGTGATTTCTTCACGAGCACAGAGGAGCTTGAAATACTTTGAAGTTGCTTCTCGGTAAGCCGGTTTGGCCCAATCATCACTTCGAACATCGCTGCGAGAGTGCCGCAAGAGGTCAAACTCTCCAAGGAAAGTGTAATCAGCGATGTCCTTCCATGATATCTTGTCGCGCGGAGGATTCAAGGCTACAGCTTGAACATTGTAGTGTGCGATAGCTTTGCGGATAGCCTCAGAACGTCGTTGTAGGGCTTTGCTAATTTGCTGACGAAGTTTATACCCTCGAGAAATGTTATTGATTTGACATAACCAAATCAAAAGAAATCGTTTACCTGTGCCCGATAACGACAGCTTTGAAAGTTCAAACAGCCGCATCACAACCAAGCGTTCTAAGTCGTTGAGCGCAGCTCGATATTTGCCCAGAGAAGCTTCTTCCTTGAAGCAGCTATACTCCTCACCACCAATTTCCCATCGTGCATCTACACCAAGCTGAGATTCCATGTGGGCCACTAGTGCCTCCGCGTGCTGTAGTTTAGCATAGGATGAATCAACCCAAATACGGGCAACTGTTAGAGCTTGATTGATCTGCACTAGGCTGCTTGCCGGAAGTTGGGTAAGTGCATTGTTGGCTGCTTGGCGAGCCGAATCCCAATCGGACCTAAAAAAAAAACACTTGATATTAAAAATGACCGTAAATTAAATGAGGTTAGTTCACCTTCGTTCAGCCAGTTCATCAAGTGTCTCAACATAGCGAATGCGGATACGGTCTTCGGCTGGTGGCTGCTTCAGATCATCAAGGTATTTTTGCTCTTCGTCGAGAAAACGAACAAAATCATCATCGGTTAGTCGAAGCTCGTGTTTGATAGCTGTGAGTTCAGTGGTGAGATTGTGAACTGCCTTCAGCGCTTCTCGATAGTGGTTCCATAAGAAATTACCTATTGGAACGCTAATCAGTACTGTGAACTAAGGCTAAAGTGGAATATACAAACTAAGGCTAGCGTACTTGTCTTGATCCCAAAATGAGAAGTGTTCCTCGATAGATTGATGTCGATGGAAGGAACTGGCATGTCTAGTACTACGAGCAAGCTCATTGGAAGCAGAGAAAACGTGTTCACAACCTTCGCCTTCAGTGTGTCCCGTTCCAGGAATATACATTGGATGCCAACGTAACTGGCATTTGCGGTTGTGTGCGTGGCCATGAAAGGACCCGACCATCATCCGAAAACCAAGATCGTGCGCTCGAGAGCCGAAGGAACTATTGCTCAGGGTCTTTGAGAAGGCGCATCCGATATCATAAGCACAGCCCCCATTCTTTCCATATACAGTGAGGAGCTTGTCAATGAGCGCCAACGGATATTTAGCTCTGTTGGAATGATCAACAAACGTCAAACCATGACAAAAATAGACTAACAGCTCGCCACTCTGAACCATGTCGCAAGCTAGAAGTATGAAGCGGTGGCGACAAGCAGCGATAAAGATCCCAGACTCATGAAACACGGAAAACATTTTTTTACGAGTCTCAGGGCCAGCATTGCGCCATTGATCAACACAAGTGAGCACATTAGAAGGGTTAGTGCTAGCGTCAACCGGCTCTTCCTCCCAGTTATCATCATGGGAGTTGATCTGCACAATGCGATCAAAAATTGCTCAAATTAAGTTAGTCGACTTACATCGCACGATTTCGCTTCGTGTTTATACTTGTCAACAGTTTCACGATCAATCCAGTAGTCTGAACGAGCTTGACGAGAATCCAACCAAGCAGTGTTACCATAGATGGAGGAATCCCATCTCTTTAAGCTATTGTTGCCATCGACGCACACGAGCCAGTTGAAATCAAGGGTTGGCTCATCTTGGAGTTTATAGAAGCAAGCGGGACAGGAATTTAGTAAGCGCCAATTGGGAGTGTCGTGTTTGAGCGCTGCCTTGAGGCGCTGGTCAACGTGATGGATGATTTCCAAATAAATATCGTAAGCAGCCGAGAATTGTGTATTGAGGTAGGGCCGGTAAGGAATCTATCAATTACATATCAATAGACAGGCTGCCGAGAGTATCGTCCCATACTCACATCATGAAGGAAACAAAGTGTTCTACACTGTGCCTGGATACTGAAGCGAGGACAGGCTCGATGACATTGCCGGAAGGCGGCAAGAGTATGGAGCGAAATTGCAATGGTTGGGTACATCAGGGCGCATCTGATGTAGCCATGATAGATAAGTGTCTCGTTAGGGAACCTGTGCAATGCTATCGGCTGGAGAGAGGAACGGCACCGCCCTGTGGGAGAATGAAATAATGCTTTGAAATAGTGCGAAGATACTTACTGAAAATGTCAATGAGCTCGATGTTGTTGAGTGAAGGGCAGTCCGTCGTATCTATGTCCAAAGGTGGGACTGTGGGCAAGTCTTGTGGGTTTGGTATGCCATTGCCAGAATTTCGAGCGCGGTAGTCAAGATAGGCGTCCACAAGGTGTTTGATCTGGAGATTCCAATGAGAAGTCTGGTCTTCTGTGCGGTCTCGGCGAGTGCGAGGATCTATGTAGCGACTGTGCTGAAGTATAAACAAGATATGTCAGGTGTTACAATCACTACGTGAGCCCCCAGCCAGTCCGCACGCGACATACGTCGTAACATCAGGATGAAGTGAATAGGACTTACTATCCACCAATGTCGGCCACCTGATGTGCCAGCCCTTCGAACACTTCATGTTCCCCACCTGCATGACTCATATCAAAACCTTCCTCTCCAGGAGGAGCAGTGTATGGTAGCGCCTCGACATCGATGCCATGGTGGGTAATCATGGTCTCCACCGCATTTCGGTCCTCTGCGGACATTTCTGTTGCAAAAATTATAGTGAATGAGGCGGAAAGTAAATGAGAAAACATACCTTGTATTTCAGCCTGGCGGCTGGTATCCGTTGCCATTATTCGATGCTGTTGTTTGCCAGCCGCGAGGACTTCTGATCGACGATGGCGTCCTCGAAAATGGTGAGAAATGACCGACTTCGACAACCCGGTGACCTTGTAAGTGGTAGAGCCACGAGGCATGGCAGGCGTTGAGGATATGCAGCAGCACCAGATAGCGGACGATGTGGAAGAGGGCAAGGGGCGTGAGAATGCATTGGCTTGGTGGATAACCCTTCTAGGTGCAGGCGGGAAGGGCGTGGGAAGTTACTGATAGAGTCCGAATACCCGCCCCACCCTAGGCTATAGTACATAGGTTGAATAAGTGAAGGCCCCAGGTAATTTGGGGCAGCATTTAATGCTGGTGTTGGGTTTTAGCACAAACATGCCTAATCAGAGTTGCCGAGGCACGTAATCGTCAAGTATAATAAGGCTCCCTAATTGGGCAACCCAGGTGGACACATTTGTGGGGTGACACATTTGTGACTGAAAACATAGCTGAGTTTGAAAAAACCCCAAAATGCAGCTGTGAAAGCCACAACACCCACCCAAATAGGGACCTGGCAAGTCCCATACAATAGGTCAAAAAAGCGAACTGGCAGTTGCCAAGGAAAGTGTATGGTAAAACTGGTAGTTGCCCAACATATTAGGTCTAATACTACAACTACGGCTGTCTCAACTCCATAATTCCACCTCTTCTTGTAACAGCTTTCTGTTCTCATTCTCATGGTTACTGCACACAGCAACCTTCTTACAACTCCACACTGGACCATGTGGAAGTTCATCTATCATTTGTAAGAACAACCAGTTATTGTGAAATTGAAGCTTCAAGCAGTTTTGAGTCTGGTTACAGTATCAACACAGTCAGTTCAAATTTTGATCTATACTTGGAACATACTATGGGTAGTTTCAGAAACTCATTGGTCTGCCTTTGACTGAGGTTTCTGACAAGCCATTGGGCTAGACCCCACTCCTCTCTGGTGCATCGTCTATTGAGTATATGCTTTGCCACCATGATCCAACACTCATGCATTCTCAAA